TTTGTTCTATTTTATTTTTTTCTTAGAATATACTGTATACGTAATACTCTTTTTCCTGATGCAGTTAAAATGTAGATGACACATATCAAGAACCGTTAATCAAGGAAAAACGAGTCAATAGATTTACGTTTTAACACTTAAATACAGTCTTTGGGTTCGTTACAATAAAAATATCAATATATTATTATTAATATAAAAATAATAATAATAATAATAAATATGAAAATTAACTTTATTTAAAGAAGGTAAAACATGTTTAGTGTAATCACTACTTTCACGTGGCATTGATGTATAAAAGTTTTATTGATTTACAATTTTAGATATGGTTTTAATTTAGATAAAAGAGTCAGTTTACTATTAAGTTTGTTTCTTAAGCTTGGATAGATAAATGGCATATAAAGGGCATGTAAAAGTGCTCATACCACATCATGGCCACACACTGTGGTAGTGCTCTTAGATCCTCTTGCTGCGTGATGAAGAAAAAATGGAGTCAAGTAACCGAACGCAATCCAAGCAAGTGAAAGTGAAGTGCTACAACAAATGCACCTCACGATTCACTTCTCAGGATTAGTGAGGTAAGAGTCAACGGTTTTCACATTTTGCGTGCATTAAATAATTGCTTTAACACGACGTGATTGAGTCTAATATATATATATATATATATATATATATTTTTTTTTTTTTTTTCGGCGAAATCGTGTTGCAGTTTTGATCAATTATGTCTAGGTTACATCCTGCGTGCGAAGTTTCTACTCTACTGAGTAAGTATCCTGCCTGCATTTTCCTTTCTGTGTGGCCCATGAGGGGTGTGAATCATATGTTTATTTATTTATTTATTTATTTAAATCATTTAGGACACATATTTCGGACATTAAACATCTGCAGGGGCGGATCCAGTATTATTTGAAGGGGGGGCGTTTTTTTTTGGAATGACAGGCCGTGGATGCAAAGGACCCCCCTCACCCCCACCCCCCCCCTCCCCCCCCCCCCCCCCCCCCCCCCCCCACC